AAAATAKARTTMTGAAATAAGCAAATTGTTYGCAAAGTGGTAAAATTCATTTAGCTTATTTAMGTTATGAAAGGTATTTGGCAGAATTCTGAAACCGCGAACGAAAAAATTCGTTTYCTTGCGGAAAARSTATTAAAATCACAATGCAGCATCGATGCTGCCCAAAAATAGCATMAGCTGCATTAAGCATAACTTCTCTTCTACTTGGAAGATCTGGACAAGCAATTTTMTAAATAAATTCAGTTGCAGCTGAAAATAGGCAGAGAACAAGTAAAGTTTGTAACATTTAGAGTTCCCACCGAAGTACTGCAGATTTTCTGGCATAAATAAATTACACATTCGACGAATGCGCAAAGAAGTTCGCTTCTTAGATGAACGAAAGGTTCTCAAATTACACAGTTTGGAGACCAATCCTCAATTCTTGAAGCAATCGCAGACTTGACAAGAAATGACGATTATAAAGGCAATGTTTTTGAAGCTCATTTCAGTGACTCCTTCACTCGAATTCTCAAAATTCAAGTGGACAACTGTCCAAACCAAATTAAAGACGTTTTGGTGTCTCCAATCTCCATTTTTTGAGACTGTCTGGAATGGGCTTTCAGATCAAGGCAATGAAGATAAGAATGATCGAGGCTACTTTACTACTGAACTCTAGACTTACTATAGTTCAAAATCCATAAGCTGCTTCGACAGAAATCTTCATTTCAGAGTTAACTCACTCAGGTTCAGCCTGTTTTTCATAGTGGTGATCCCTAAGCCGGACACAATTTCTGAGCATGTCTGTGAGAGACTCTCTGAGAGCTTACATCTTACGATACCGACATAACGATTTAAATAACCAGTGTGACAGGAAAAATAACTCAACTAGTGAGCAGATGCTTTATAGACTATCGGAAGCCATTGGACTGCGTTAAACACTTACACGATTATGAGAAGAGTGAGGCAGGTCTTCTTTTCAACATATACKCGGAGGSAATATTCAGAGAAACACTTGACGAAACAACAGGAGYAGTAGTGAATGGGAAGGTAATAAATAACTTAAGATTSGCGGATGATACRGKCATCATAGCCAGCAGTCCACATCAATTACAGAGAATGTTCCATAAAAAAGTCAAACAAAGCGAACGATATGGCCGTTTTATGAACATACCCAAAGTCAAGCCCATAKTTWTYTTCAAACTACATCCAAATATAACCTTKAYTATAAAAGGCAAAGATGTACAACAAGTACCTTCGTTTAAATACCTGKGCAACTCGATAGATCAAGAATGAGACGCTAAAAGTGAAATCACATCCAAAACAGAGCAGGCGAGGAAGGTCTGAARGAAGTATGAAGACGCTCTTTACAAGATTGGATTTGAGCTTGCAGCTCAGGACACGCATGCTGCGTTGCTATGTGTTCTCTGTGCTATACGGCAGTGAGAGCTGGACCCTTGATCCCATAACGGAGAAGAGAATTTCTTGGACACAAAAGATAACCAATATAGAAGTTCTAAGACGTATGAACAATGGAAGGCAACTGCTTCAAACGATAAAAAAATGGAAAACACAGTATTTTGGACATATTAATATATATATAAGGATATATAAGCGAGTCGATACGAACTCCTGAAACTCATCATCAAATGAAAGATTAAGGGATTAACAAAATTCATGGGAGGAAGTCAGAACTCATGGCTGAAGGACATCCACAGGAAAGTGGAATGAACCCGGATTGAAACTTTATGACTTGTAGACTGAAAACATATTTGCTGACTGATGGAATTTTCACAAACTTGCCTAATGATACTTCGCTAAGGTTCACACATCGAAACCTTGTTCAAGAATGTTTAATTATGCAAAAGAAGTTCAATAAAATTGATATAAACAAACAATTTTTTTATGTGGCGGGTTTCAGTTAGCAAATTCAAATAGAAAATTGTGACCTAGTTCATGTGAAAAAGCGACCGCTTGAGAATGCATGCAGACATTAAAGGATGTGAAAGACAAATGGGCAAAACCGTATGTAGGGTTTAAGGAAGTGTACTAGTGAATAAACCACAAATAGCTACTTGGTTTTTAAAACGGCTATTTCTATGCAGGGTAATTGAAATTTGGCATTTTTCCTTTTAAGGAGCCTGGGATTTGCTTGGAAATTACGGAAAAGAAATACAATATTTAAATTCAATAACAATAATTCTCAAATATATAGACTATTGAAGGTGTGACTTCAATTTTGCAGTTACCCAATATTTTGAAGTTGTAGAATATTCGTTTGGTAGACTATTAGTACCGCATAATACTATAAATAAAATATTGCAAAATCTGCATAAGTTTGGGAAAATGTTTTGTTTAGCGACATTATGTTTCTATCAATTTTGAATAAAAAAGCACAGCAGCAACCATGCATTAAGACAAACATGTCAGCGTTACAGCGTTTTTACAGTTAAGATTTAAATTGCGCTCTTCAAAATTTAAAACTGCATGACCATATCGGATATGCATCAGTTCACCTTCTTCAGGAGGCTCTAAATAAGTGATATATTTTGCACAATAAATTCGTGATATTAATTTATAGTTTAATATAATAGAGTTAATGTTAACTTGTTCATGGTGCGTTATTAATGCAACAATTCACTCAAACCCGCATGTTCAGAAGTTTTTTCAAAGTGTTTATGAACCATTCTCACAATTGATCATCTGAATATTCCAGCCAAGCAACTACTCAGTATTAACGAAATCTCCGGAAGTTCGCGAAGTGTGGTTGAAACCTCTGGAAGTTCCAGATCGATTGGTGTAACTTAGATAAGCATTCATTCATGTCCCGGTACATTTAAATTAACAGCCCCCTCATGAATTTTATTCAAGGTATTTACATTATTGAACTTTTTCCATGTCGTTTCTAATTTAAAAAAAAAATATTGTGCTTGTTTGGCAGATTGTTAATTGCTGAAAATTATCATAAATTAAAAAGCAGTTTAGCTCTAACTTCATATTGTAAAACCATCTATTGTTTTATGGAAAGATGTGTTTCAATGCCACAATTTTCCATCATACTTGCAATGGAAAATTTATAAAAACTCATATTTTTACTTAGTATTTTTAATAGCCAAAAATTGTTTTTTGAGGGATTTTAAAATAATTCTTAGGAACTTTCAGCAACTATTCAATCTTTTGTGCCGTGTGGAAATAAACGGAACACTTCTTTATCTATTATTCTCCCGCCACGAGGCCCACTTTAAAAGAAAATATCGCTATTTTTGAACCACCCCGTATTGTCCAAATATGATTAAAAAAAGAGTTTAACTCCTTAATTAGAGGGTATAATAATAAAGCAAGTAAAATTAACCTTTTTACTTAAATTGAAGAAATTGAAGTACTGCCACTAAGCCCATTGTACTACTTCCCTACCAATCAGTGAGCTTAACATAAACCACTTCTCATCGTGTTAAATTAAAGTCGACATAATAAGTGCGCTGATTTATTCTGCTTCGTATTATCAGCAATGGGTTTTCTACGGGTAAACATGGTGAAAGGTTGCATACAAAGACTAGAAGAATTTGTAATGGTTATAATGGTAATATCATACATTACAAAGTAGATTTTATTCAAATTTGCTATTAGATCAGACACAACGTTGAATATATCTTAAGGCGGTGAACCAAAATTACGATGATTAGAGACGTTTCATAAGCTGACCAGTAGAAAAAGCCTCACTTTAATTAAAAGCCATTCAAAAGTGCATTGATTTGAGTGAAATAAATCTTAATTCATTTCTCCATTCATATGGTTCATAAATCATATGGTTGCCGGAGAAGATCATTGGTGTTTTCACGATCACATTGAGGAGAAAGTGATATAATGCGATAGGCAAACGATCTAAACCCGAGAAAAATAACTAATTCATAAGAAGTTTAACTTTAATAACGAAATGTCGCTCTCGAATTACGTAAAAAGTAGTTCTTTCGACGATACTAATTATCATAGACTTGGGATTTTATCAGATTAAAAAAAAATAAAATTTGATTTTGCATTGCCAAGCAAGCTGCTTATGGTAGCGAATAGAAACTTTCTAAGTGGTTTCGAGAATTTGGAATAACAACATTTTCTATTTGATTTTTCATTTGTCAATCAATTGCGAAAAATATGTATACCTTCATGCAGTGCAGCATCAAGTACGCCTCTCTATGAATTAGCATCCGCTTAATGAGAGTGATCTATTTTAAAAGTCCGCATCATTTGTTATTGTTTACTTGTCTATTGCAGATGTTCACATAGTAGAAAGTGAAAGTCTGTAAGCATGGTATACCACAAGAATTCCAGTGATGGCATGCAAGCATTTGTATTGATTTTCAATATAAATATTGCGGATGGTTCAAAAATTGTTCATCATCATTAAATGCAATAATCCCATTGCATGTTTTTCAACTTTGCAATGCTTTCTGAAGTGGATTTTAGATTTGGAAGTGGATGAACAGCAGCCAATATTCAAAAATTGCGAATTTTTCAAGAATTTGATGAGCGCGTCATAAAATTACTCGCAATTTGATGTTAAGCCTTTGTGATCCCAGCAATTGTTGCTTCAGCATGAAGTATATATTTAACAACAATTTTTTTCATATTCATGAAAGAGGGTAGTAAAGCGCTTCAAACGTTCAAGTTCATCTCACTGAATTCAGTTCCAAAAGACCAAAAGTAAAATGTTATTAAAACTTTCTGCTATGGATTTTGGGCCATGATGATGAAATTTTGAACAATTGCTCAACCAATCAAAACGTTTGATAGTTAATTAGCCTGCTTAGTTCCTTTGTGATGGTCCTTCGTTTGACCAATTATTTCCAGCTTGATGCGAACAAATAATATAACACCAAGTTCCAAAGCCGCCCTTGAAATTTTTCTGCTGAAACAAAATTAGCACAAAAAGTTTTTGCTAATTTGCAGCAAAGCCAAAGCAGGTCGATTCCATCTTGCTCTCACCCATGGGCGTCCATTTCCTCTCACTTTTGCCTACGCACCGAAACTATAAAACGCGACGGCTCTGTCCGATGGCTCAGTTGGTATACCAAAAAGCTTAGTGGCTGAAGAAGATAAGCGGGTCCCTGTGACATTCGAATATTTTATTTTTTTTTATATTATATTGTGTCGATAGGTATCCGCCATACTAACAAAATGAAAGTTTTAATTGTCTTCGCGCTTTTGGCCGTCGCCGCGTATGGTGCTGAAGAGAAGAAGGAAGAAACCAAAGCGACCACTCCAGCTACCCCTGCTGATGATGGAGAAAGACCCAAAACTTTCAAAAGATTGATTCCTGCTGATGTATTGAGAGGTAAGAAAAGCAGATTTGGAAGGTAGTTGGTTCAGTGTATTCTTGTTTCTAAATTAATTTACTTTTTTCTTTGAGCTGACAGGGAAGCAAAAAAAGAGTTTAGAAAAACCTTTATAATTAAAAAAAATCATTTTAGCCTGTGCGTGTTTCTGAAGACACGGACTATTTTAAAATAAATTATTAAATTGTATACAAATCATCAAAAAACTTGTGTATACCATTTTCAAATGCGGATAATGCCTTTCTAGAAAAAACGTTTTTTCAACAGAATTTGACGAACAAATATATTTGAGAACAAATTTTGAAAATTAATGAAACTAAAAAAATATTTTTCAGAACCAATTCAAATCAAGTGTAATTACCTACTTAACGAAGCTTTGACAAACGATATACATCATTTTAACTAGGAAAGAAACTAATTTTTGGATGTACTCTTTATACTGCACAATTATTTCGAGTTTGATGTGTTTTGATGAGATTTTGCATCGAAATTATATCTATTCTATCTAGAAACTTAAAATAATTCTGCCTTTTTAAGTACATGTGCAGAACTCGCCAGAAAAAAATAATCAAATATTACTTTTGGAGGTACTTTAAAGTACTTTGCCACAATATCAAACTGAAATTCTAATTATTTTCACATCTAATTATCTAACCATTAAATCAACACTTCTTTCAATCTTCAGAAGTTTACTATCTAAAGACAAATAAAAATGAGGATGACTGATGAACAATTTTCCTTATTTTTTAATAATATTGGAAATAAACTCCTAACTAATAAACTAAAAAAAAAAATAAACATTGCCTTCTTCGGGAATTGCAGTGTTTTCTGTCTACGGCGCCTAGCAGGTAGATTGTTACAGGTTTAATATCTATTTGCGTGCCACAAAAGCGTTTGCATTTAATGATTAACGAGTTTTTATCATCTTAAGGGTGAAAAAATATTGATAAGTAATTATTAAATCCAGTGGTGCAGTAATTTTTTTAAATTAGATCCATCGCCATAGAACTACTCGGTCTACTTTCTCAACGAATCTATAATTAAAATATATTCCTATTATTTTGGGACACCCTGTAAGTATTAAAGTAAAGTGCGGTAAAAAAAACATGCTTTCATTTTTAATTATTAGTGAAGGAATCGATCAATTTTTACATCGTAAATCTCGTTAATTAGATTGATAGTTGGTCTAAAAATGTAATTGATTGAGTGCAAGTTCGATTGCAAGTGATTTTACTGCTTTGTAAGTACACATTCCAATGTAATATTGGGAGACAATTTTTCTAGATTATATTCTTTAAGTTACTCACTACATTACAAATATATAAAAGCTGACAAGAAACAAATCTGTAAATGTTATTATATTTTTTCTTTCTGGGGTTCCAGTCAAAATGTGAAATAAAAATGTTCATATCGCTTCTTTCACATTACGATTCGGCGAGACAACAGCACCATAATCAGTATAAAAATTGAAAACAAACTAAAATCGCCAATTTACAATTAAAATATGTTGTACAAAAACTCTAATTTACAAAGCATTAAAACATCCATTAGTTCTTAAGGAAAAGAAAATATTTGGGAGAGCAAAGCATTTGAAAAACTTACCCCATAATTGAAAAATCTCCCAAATAATTTTTTTCCTTAAGAACTAATGGATGTTTTAATGCTTTGTACATTATAGTTTTTGTACAACATATGTTAATTGTAAATTGGTGTTTGTAGTTTGTTTTGAATTTAAAACCTGATAATAGCGCTGTTGTCTCGCCGAAACGTAATATGAAATAAACGATATGAACATTTTTATTTGACATTTTGACTGAAACCCGGGAAAGAAAAAATATAATAACAATTACACGCAGTCAGGAAATAAATCAAAATTTTACATAAGAAAATAGATATTTTTGTGTCCGCGCTCATTTTAGACTGAGACATAAAGTAATAAATACAAAATAAATAAGGGTCTTAAAGCGACTGCAGCTGCAAGTAAAACAGTTGCTTAACTTAACTTTTTGCAAGATTAGCTTAAGTTTTAGATTGTAATATTTAGCTGTTGTAGATGACGCTTATTGCGAATCACCCTGTATACATACATACAACTAAAGTACTTAATGCTGATCAGGTTTAAACAGAAAATTCGCGCTCCCAACAGTAATTTTTCGAAAAGTTTTAAAGCAGATGGATAGTGTTCTGGGTTTTAAGTTTGATAATTTGATGAAAAGTTTTAATTATTATAATTAATTAGAATTACTATTGTTCTGATATTTCAGTCTGGCACTTTTTTGCCTATTCTATTCAAACATTAGTATATATTTCAATTAAGTAAAAAGACGAAAATGAAGAAACAGGGAATATATTCAATCGGCAGACAAATTACAAAATATTTTACCTTTACAGTCCAATTTATGAAAGAACAAGTCGTGGTTTTGCGTGAGAATACATTCCAACTAAAGTTAATTAGTATTTTCCTTTATTTCTCATTATAATTTTTTTTATTGTGTTGTCTATAACCCACTTTTCTTTTGTATTTCACCGAGTCAATTACAAGTTGCTCCTTGCTTTTTAAAATTTTATATAATAAAACCGAATAAAGCAATTATTAAGCCAACCTAGTTCGGAAATACAATAATCAACGATACACGCAATAGGCATGGCCTAGAAAAAATCCACTTTCTTTAGAACACTCCAGTTTTTACAAATTCTAATTAATAGCGTGGTGATTTATGATATTTCGCAAGATTTGCGCAAAAGACTGTAATTTTACTTTCAATTTGACACGTGGAAATGGAAAAACTCAACTACTATGCCATATACTTAGGCAAAGATCGAGGCATATTATTAATTTATAATATATTTTTTAATCAAGCTACTTTAGTTGAATGAAAACTTATTAAAAAGCTCCATATTTGGGCCAAAGGAAACAGTACAATATGCAATGCTTATTGCAAATAATCGAACGCAAATGCAAGCGTTAATTCAAGGTAAAACGTAGGCACATTTGCATAATGTAACTATGTAAATATGCACTTGAAATGCACTATATGCTATTGACAATAATTAAAGCATAGCCAGTTTTATTCTTATGGGGCTTAAGATTCAGCTGTTTGTTTCGTTTAAAATATACAAAGATAAAATTAGTCCGGCTTGAACATTATAATTGATGAATAATAAACAAAATAATTAATAACTAATACTGTCTATTGACAATCTTACACAAGAATACTCTCATTGATTGCATTTTTCTTTCCAATTCTAATTAAGGTGATTTCAAATAGATATTTGCATCGAACAGCATTTGCATCTAAAAAATATAAGTAAGTTTTTTTTGCTCATTGATTATTAAAATATTTAAGAATATTTGCTCTTTGGTTATTTGCAAAGTATATCATTGATGTATAGTATATGCAATTTACTGTACACGGCTGAATGTTAGAATAGTATCCAGCTGGATAACGGTTTTTTCCGTATTATATAATATATGGGGTGATGCTAATTTAAAAAGTGTATTTTATCGACAAATTTCTTGAAAGTCGATAATTTTTCTATTTTAAAGGATTCGTTCTATTTAAGAAATATCACGGTAAAAGAAAAATATATGGGTAGCAACTTGCTTTATCCTTCACACTCACATTCCTTGATTACTAGTGGGAAGAAAAACTGTATTAATTTAGTTAAACTGGAACGAATTATGTAGATAGCTGGTCATGACCATGATTTTTTTGAGAGTGGTTTCTTAGAAGATTTTAAATTGGGGAGTAATGAGATTTGTTTGAAGTCTAGAAGGTCAGAAATTGTAGTAAAATATGACAAATAAATAACCTTATTAGGAATAAATTAACTAGTCTTATAATTACATTCATTCCGCTACATTGTCTAGTTTGTAATGCATTTTCAGTCGAAAATTGGGAAAAAAATAATGTAGGAGCAGCTAACACCAATGAGGGACCTTTTCAATTAGTAAACAATCCTATTAAATTACAAAACTTTATTGATTAAATCAATCAATTACAAAGCTTCTGATTTCACTCCATATTTTGAAGCAATGTTTTCATATGTAAAGAAATTTATTTTTTTTGCAAGTTTTAGAAAGTGAAAGTAAAATGATTTTAGAAAGTGAACAGTAAATCATATTGTTCATGTTGACGAGTAGTCGAAAGTAATTGTTGACGGTTTCACAATCAGCAGACAAGATAATGAAAATAACACAGAATGGTTTTGCCGCATTAAGAAAAGTATTACCAATAGTTCTGACTACAGTTGTGGATGTTTGATGGTTCGTTAATCTAATTAATTTGCTAACCTGACCTTACAGAAATATGACAAGGCAAAATACAAATTAATTAAATTTAGCAGTCAAAGATCAAAGAATTTAATAATTGATTTCTAATTGCATCCCTGCGTTTCAACAGCATTGCGGTTAAACGAGTCCATTGCTAAAATGAGATGTTGTATGCCAGTGGAAAGGATCATGGTAAAAGTAAAAGTTATCGGTGAAAGCTTTTTATCATACAAATTCAACCCGCAGTTGAGTTTGTAGAATGTCATCGTTTTAATGTGTTGCACTGTAAAGGGCTTGCCACTATTCTTACGATTACTTAATGCATTTGATTGATTTTCGGTCGGTATTTTTAACGAAAATAAATAATACTGATTCTCACTTTTTCTTAATCCCATTGAAAATTCAGTACAGTATGTAAACGTTATATAGTTTAAAATATTCAAGATATTGGGAATTTGGTTTTCAATTTCTGCTGAATTTTTCATTGCCACTGTTCTTTTCGGGTTTGATTAGTGTTGCAACTTCTGCGGTCAGTATTAATTATTAATATTTTTCATGAATATAAATAGTTACCTGCAAACGTTTAATTATTTATTAAATTAATGTTTTTTTGGAATTCAATTTTCTAGCAAAGCTATAAATAATATGTGTTCTTTTTCCCGAAAGAGACTAACACGATTATTGTGTCTTTGAAATTGAATTTGAATTAATTAGACCTTAATTACA